GCTGGGTGCGCGCCCGGGGGGAGCTGCTCCTAATCCGCCAGGCTCCTCACTCTTGCCCTTAGGTCAAAAAAAAAAAAAAAGGCGAGACCCGCTCTCTAGATTTCTTTTATAAAGTAACAACAGAAAAGTTACCTCCCCGCCCCACCCCCCGCCAGCCCTGGCGTGCATGCATGAGAATAGAGCTGTTAAAAGAAAAATCTGCAGGCTTTGACGTTCTCTTTGGAACTATTGTCACCCGCCTTTCAAGTCTCAAGCGCTCGAAAATACTATTCAGAACCTCTTCAAGTCTCCATCGGTAGCCAACCTTAATTATTATGCTTCATTCTAAATTTCTAAGGTAGAGCTATATCCCAGATTTTAAAATTTAAGGCAATTGCAGTTTGCAAGAAAATGTTTCGATAACCCGTGTACTCAAAGCAGTAAAAATGAGAACTGAGGGCACAGGTCCTTAGACGTGGCAGGTAGCAAGTCGTTACTGCGCCTTCAAAGCACGATTTCAGGGGGAGCACTCGCTCTCAGATTACGGAAGGATGGTGAAGACACGGAGGCCTCCTGGTGACCACGTGTACAGAGTAAACTGGGGGAACTCTGCCTAATATCTGTCGTTTTATAATATACCTTTGATTTGAGATCCCTCCTATCCTCAGAAATGTAATGGTTTCCTTAAACCCCTTAGTATTAAGGGCCGTTCAAGGCCCTCCCAAGTATTATAATAGAAATTGCCATAAATGCTATGGAGTTTCAGAGTAGTGAGAAGGCTCCTAAGAGGATCTGGAAACTTCTCACAATAGATGATTTTCCCATCTGAGCTTGGAGAACTAAAAGAATTTCAACAGAGAGAAGGTAGTAGAAGGAAAATTCTACACACTGGAAACAGCAAGATGATTTGGGAGTGGGCAAAAGCCCCCATTCAGAGAAGGGTTGCTAGAAGGGCTGTTCCGTCACCAGTGAGGTAGAGATAGAGATAAGCCATCAGCATTCACATACACATCCATAGAGTGTGGGTTTCAAGAAAGTTGTGCCTTGAACACTTTATAATAGAGAAATGTGCCTTGAGGGAAATGGACACTCTGACTGGGCCAAAGGAATAACGAACATCCCATACTGTGTCTGTGTGTGATTACCCAGAAAATGTTACAAGGATAAACATTCACCAAACAAATGTATAGGTCAGTTACCTACCTACTGTCAGTGGTCCCCAGGTTCCAGGTTCCCTGCCCCACCCAAAGAAGGGTGAAGCTGAGCAGGGAAGAAAAGAAAGCTGGAGAGAAGAGACTGGGGAAGGAGGGAATCTGGGAGCTGGAAGGAGTCCTGCAGGAGCTGAGGGGCCTGTGAAGAAGCTTCACTTGCCTTTTGACCCTGGACTGGTTAAAAACAGATGTGGGTGAGAGACCCATGGGGAGGTTAACAATGGCAGCGTTTATCTTGATTTTGATTTTGCTCGTTTCCTCCCAGGCTTGTCTGGACATTTCTGGCCCTTTTCTATGGATCCCTGCCAGAGGGTGCTTTAGACTTGTGGCGGGCATTCGGGCCTTGCTTTGTGTAGATCCCATTTGGGTGGACTTTTACCCACAAGAGGAGGGTACCTTTGAGTGGTTGATTTAGCAACTATATTCTTTGTCTTTTTTGTATTGCACACTAAGTGTATTAAAGTTCCTTTCCATTAAAGGTTTCATGTTTGGTCTTGATGCGGCGGATGGCGGAACCTATTTAGAATGGGCAGGTTTGGGGATTCTGGGGTGCTCTTCTCCCTGCCCTGTAATAATACCTGTCAGTGTTACAGAGCAGGGAGAGGAGACCACCCTGTTACATCAGCACTTTCCAAACTCTGCAGTCAGTATGTATAACAACTAACCACTAATTGCTAAATAAAGTTATAAAATAGTGACGACAACAAAAAGAAGACAGCACTCCAAAGTCCATCTTCCTTAATGCTACTCGAGTTTCTTCAAATTCTTGGTAGTTCCTTCATTTGTTTGTCTTAGGACAAGTGCTTCCAACTCCCATTTTCCAGGCATACCCTCAGTAGGATCTGTGTTTTGCTATCTATAGACAATGTATTACTAGTTAATGTTGCACCAAATGCAAAAGAGGGAATAAAGTTGCTAAGATGGAAGAACCACCAAATATGTTGATCACTTAATGTCAAGTGCAAGCCTTCCCCCATGTATGAAACCTGAAAATTATCCATTTTCATCCAACCAAAGAGGGGTTGGAGGAGAGAGTTGACAAGCAGGAAATGTGGGTAGGGAGAAGAAAGAAGAAGAAAAACAGAAAGAAAAAAGAGAGAAGAAAACGTTTGCTGACCTGTTACCAGATTTCTAATTTATTCTTTTTACCCTTTTCTTTTTTCCTAATTAAAATTTAATTTGAGGTTACATGGCTTATTTAGATGTTGTAGTTCAGGGAATAATTCTGGACACTATTAAAATGGTCAAAGGCATAAATTGTTTTCTTTCCTTTTTTTATATCCAAGAAAGGCAAAAATGAAACACCTCTTTTTAAACTTATTAGATGAATGCCCTTCACTTTCTCAGTCTGTCTGTTACTGGAAATGTTTTATTAATTGTGAATTTATTCCCACATATTGTAATGCAAATAGGTGGCAGCTTGATTCGTTTAAAATTAGCAGAGAGGCCTTTGTTCAAGGGGTGACATATTCGGAGTGACCCAAATTATCATGATGTGAAGGCCACAGGTCAAATTCAAGGCCAAGCTACAAATCAATAGAAAATTTGCCAGGAGAGAGGGGAGGAAAGCTGGTGTTATGAACTTGAATTCTGTATTTTCTTTGCTGCATAGATCTTTTTACAAGTAACAGACTTTGAAATGTGAATGAGATCTTGTTTTCTTATTTTAAGAATAGGGATTCTTCACTACATGCTTAATTCACCACCTTTTTCATTTTAATTCTTGTATGTTCTTAATATTTTTCTCTAAAATTTTATTTCAGAAGTTTGGTAAAATACCTTTTTTGAGTTTCCATGTGCCTTTGATCCTTACCCATGTTGATTTCTTTAGACAAGAGTTTAATTTTGACTGAACTCACTCTAATGTTACACTGAGCATCAGTGATCTACATTCTCTGTTACTGACCCAAGGTTGACTGAAACTGGGCCACAACATCTCTATCCTGATGTTGAAAGCTTTCAGTTCCACTCTCGCTGTCACCAGCCAGAGAAGGACATGGCTCAAAGACAAACACCTGAGGCCCTTCTCCCATTCTCCCCATTTCCAATGGTACTGCCACCACCCCTTCCTCCACATCTCCCCACATAACTGAACTTACAGAGGCAGAACTCTGGCTCTGAATTTTTTTTTTTTAAGATTTATTTATTTATTCCTAGAGGAACTGGCCAGAGGTGCAGGGGAGATGGTTGTATGTGTGAGAGGATTCACCAGAGTAGGGAGCAGAACCCCCGTGGATATGTTGAATTAGACCTTTGGGCCCTCCCCCCTCCCCGGTGGGTGGCGCAAAGCCTTAGGACACAGCACTGTAAGCTGGCAGCTGCAGCCACAGTGCAAAGTTGATCCCCGACCAGGGAGGTGACCCACATGGCACAGCAGACATTTCCTGTCTCCCCTGCTGCTCCCCTCAGCAGTGTACTTGGTCAATCTGCCTGTCCCGCTCCTCACAGTCTTTGGTGAATCTTCTCACTGACCCTGCACCTCTGGCCTGCACCCCAGGTCTTTATGCATAAATAAATAA